CCCTCCCCCACTCGTGCTGTGTTTCTCTCTGTCTCAATAATAAATGAACATTAAAAAATTGATGTAAAAAAAGAATAAACATTTCCTGAAGGAAAGCATGTTCCCTTCAGGGGGAACATGAGACGGCTCTGCCCACCGACTTCACGTGCACCCTCCTCTTCCTCCGCATCCACTGGAGAAGAGCTGGAACACTCGAAACCCTTCCTCCCGGCTTCGGAAGCTGCCAAACGCTGGGCCGTTGCCGGGAGCCCAGAGCTGCAGAAGCAGGGAGCGGCCTGGCCAGGGCCCTCGCTGCCCCGGGCTCACTCCCTCCCCATTCGGGCTTCTGTTTGCTTCTGTTATCGCAAGCGGCACCCAGTCCCGCATGCCTCATCCCGGAGGGCACCACCCTCCGTGCAAGGTCCAGCTCCCCGTGGCTGTGACACTCCCATTCCTTCGGATGCCAGCTCGATCATCCACGGGTGGCGCTGACCCTCAGTATGCCCCTCTGCGGCCGGAACAGCTGAGCCCTTTGCCCTTCCCTGTACCCTTAGGAGCTCCATAGGCAAAGCTCCAGGCACGGCCCCTTGTGCTCTGACAGGCATCTGGAAGCTCGGTTTACAACAGGGGGCAGAAGGCCTTTCCAGGAAATGCCCTGAGAGTACACACCTTTGGGTTTGTGGGCGGCCGGTCGCTGGCCAGATGCTCAAGTCACTACCGGGGATGGGGCAGGCCAGAGTCCAGCACCCGTGGGTGCTGCCATGGCCTGCAGATCTCACTCACAGGAGCCCAGCACCCCCCCACCCCTCCCATACCGCCACGCCCCCCAGATCTCACTCACAGGACAGGTCCTGCCTCCACTTGGCCTTGGCCATAATGCTGTGCAGCCTTGATTAAGAAGATTATTTCAAGTGTTTGGAGGACCAGCCTCCCACTTCCATTCGGTGCCCTTTGAAACTATGGACCCCCATAATTTCACCAAAAAAAAAATATATATATATATATACATATAATTTTTTTTTCTTTACATCCATCACTCATGCAATTTATTTCCTTCCCCCGGTCCACCAGTGAAATGAACTTTGTTCTCTAGAGAACTTTGTTCTGTAGGTTTCTGACCCTCTTTTTAACTTACCAGCACACCTCCTAATTGTGACCTTTTTTGTTAGGAACTGACCTGAACCCATCTGTCTGATGTAGAGGCTTGTCAGGCTCTTCTGGAAAATGTGTACGGCTCCAGGGGACTGGAGGTGGGCAGGGAAACCATGGGTCGCCTCTCCAGCCACGCAGACGGCCTGACCAGCCAACCTTGCAGTGGAATCTGGGGACACGGTGGGGGCAGGGGCTCAGACTGCCTGACTGCGTGTCCACACAAGGGCCCCCATCACCCTTCCAGCAAACCATACACCCTCGACACGGGGGATTATTCCTGAGATGCTTTACGCTAATGAACAAATCTAACGTTCACAGTGCTTGGGAAACAATTCCAGACACACGTGCCTGATTAGGGTACTTAAAATGCTAATTAACAGCCCCTGAGTTAGAACACAAAGTGAACTGTGGCACCTGGGTGGCCTGAGTCCCAGCATCTGACTCTCGTTTTCAGCACAGGTCATGATCCCAGCGTCAGCAACTGAGCGTGGAGCCTGCTTGAGATTCTCTCTCCCTCTCTCTCTTCCTCCCTCCCTCCCTCCCTCAGGCCCTCTCCCACTTGTGCTCTCTCTCTGTCTCTAAAAGTAAATGAAATTAGAAAAAAATTTTTAAAGAACACAAGGTGAGCTTACACACGCAGCGCACGTGCGCGTGGAGGGGTCTCTGAAGTGCTGTGCAGACAATAAAACTGTCTCTCTCCAGCGACTGATCCCCAGACAAACTAGCCTCAAACACCCTCTTCCAAGCTGTCACCTACACCTTCTAAAGCCCTTCCTTACTGTCAGGACCGACAAAACGGAGGCCTCCCGGTGGCCTGGCCCACGTCCCACACCCGAACCTCGGTAGCCAGGAAATGTGTCACTTTCGAGGAGACCTAACACCCGCCAGTCAGGCCCCTCCAACTCCGTCTAGCCAGCTCACGGGACGCCGGAGCCCCGACCTCCCAGCCGGCCGGGCCTGTCTCCACTGTGAGGTTCAAGGTTCCATGAAACTCGCTCTTCCCTCGGGGAAGTTCTCCCTGCTTGTGAGGTGGGGCGGCCCCGCCCGGTACCTTGTTTTCCCCTGGAGAAAGGACACCAAACCCCTTACTCGGTTATTCTAGCTTTGCATTGACACTGTCCACATTCAGCAGCCAAACCCTGTTATATCTTACTCCTGAAACGTGGCTCACCTCCTCTGCCCATCCCAACCCGCCTCCAGGATGCAGCCCGAAGGACCTTCTACCACACAGAAATCGGACAGCTGTCGGGGGTCCGATATGACAGGGCCCCGCCCGGCTCTCCAGCCTCGTCTGCCCGCCGGGCCAGAGGGCGCTGTGTCCCCGCACTGCTCTCCGCTGTGGGGACCACGGGGCCTCGTAGGCTGTTCAGCCGTACCCGGCCCTCCACCCACTGGATGCCAGTGGCCCCTCACGCCCAGTGTGACCGCCAAAAATGTCTCCAGACACTGTCTGATGTCCCCCGGGGGCAGAATCGCTCCTTCCTCCTCTGCACATCCTTCAGGCCCCTGACCCCAGAGAAGCACTCGGGGCGTACTGGGCGTTGCTAAGGCCACACAACTCGACCCGGAAGGGATGCGCTCTCCCCCATGATCCCCCCCGCTGCCCCTTCGCCTGGGACGCCGTCCTCCCTGCAGGCCCAGCCTTCCCGCCTGGCCGGCCAGGGCCCACGGCATCACAGGTCGCTCACGTGTATTACATGCACACTGAGCGCCAGGCCCTGTTGTGAAAATGCCGACAGTGTACGAGCTCGTGTTTGATTCTCATAACAAACCTGAGGCAGGTCACATCAGCCCCCTCTTCGTGGGTAAGAGCCCCGAGCAGCCAAGCCCTCACGTGACTGGACCTCCGTTGCCCCTGCTGGAGAGCCGGAGTTTGATTTTCCACCGATGTGGGCACGTCCCCAACCTGGGACGGCGCCCGCCTGCCCACTCTCAGGGCACCTCTACCTCCCGATCAAATCGAGGATCCGGCCTCCCTCTTCCTGGATGGGGTGTTAATTTACAACGACAAACAGAAGGACCAGAAGGGACCCAATTCTTCTTTTTAAAACTCCAATCGTATCTAACTCAGACCCCCTCCTCTGGTAGACTGAAGGGAACCCCAATCTTACACATTTTGGGGGTCTCCCTCTTCTGCTGCCTGGGGTCACTTGAGGGTCAGAGGGATTTTTTTTGGGTCTGGCTCTGCAAGAACCTCTGTCACCATAGGAACCTCTGCCCCCTCTGTCCCCGCTGTCCCCCTCTGTCTCCTCCATCCCCAGGAACCTCGGATTTTATGCGACCCAAGATGTCTTTGACAACCTCTGATTCTTATGCAATCCCTCCAGAACGAAGGGGAGACAAAGCTGGCCGTGAAGAGACCGAAGCACAGAGAGCAATTGTTGTCATGCTTCATGCACACACAGCTGGGGAAAGAACGCAGAGTAACTCAGGGGCCCCTCACCCCAGCTAGAGGCCAGTGGTCTCGCTGCACATGCCTGCCTATGTCTTCCGATGGCCCTCTGGCTGGGCGCCCCTGGGGGGCCTCTGGAATCCTGAGGTTCACATGTATGGTTCACATCCCGAGCCAAACATTAAAGAAAGAGATGCTTTCTCCGGCCCCCTGTGGGACCAGGCCTCTCTCTCAGACCTCTTTCCCGGTACCCCCCCGGTCCCCCCCCCCCGCCCCCCGGATGTGTAGATTCCAGACAGCCCGGCCTTCTTTCTGTCTGTCCGTCAAGTCAAGCTTGGTCTGGAATTAGGACCTGTGCTCCAGCCATTACCCCCTCCCCAGCTGTCTTCCCAGCTTTCATGCGTCCTTTGGTCACAGGTCACAGGTCATTGCTTAAATGTCACCACCTCAGAGAGCCTCCCCTGAGCCCAGGGCACTAATCACCATCCGGAACTCCTTTACTTCTCTTTACCCTGCGGTCTCTCCCCTGCCCGCACGTGCCCCACCAGAGCAGGGGCCACCCGCACCCCCTCCCTGTGTACGCGGTCAGTGAGGCAGGGTCACTGCCATCCGACTGCAGATAAACCCGCACGATGCAAATCCTCACTGTGAAATCCTAATCGCACAGCTCAGAAAACTGATTTATCCTCCATCAATCATGATAGATGACCCTGCTGCTCTGGATCTTTAGGACTGTAACGTGTGTCAGTGGAAAGGGACATTAACGGGCGGGCTTTGCCCCCACCGCTCATTCTAATGATGGGGAAGCCGACCCGCAGAGGGGAAGTAAATTAAGAAATTTCATGAAGCAAGCCAGTTAAAAAAAAGAAAGAAAAGGAAGAACAAGAAGTTTCCATCAAGCCTCAGGCAGTAATCTGCTCCCCCCACCCCCCACCCCCGCCCGGGGAGGCTACAGTCCGGTGAGAAGAGAAAAAGTACCCAAGGAAACAAAGGACAAGACAATTGCAGAAGCGAGTGCTGAGCCGGTAACCACCCAGGAAGAGGAAGATGGGCGCTGGAGGCCCCGGGGTTAGGGGGTGCCCACCCGAAGCAGGAGGGACGGCCCGCACGTGCGCTGCACCCTGGGCCTGGAAACCCTCCCCGAGCCGCGCGGCCTTCAGCGGACCCTCCCGCACCCCGGATTCTGCGCAGACGGCGCGGGGGCAGCGAGGCCTCCGGGCGCATCCTGCCCCCACGGCTCGCGCGCCCGGGACAGCCCTGACCTCGGGCAGGTCGCGCTGCGCGCCCCTGCCCCCTCCGCCGCGCCGCACTGGGGGGCTCGGCAGGCAGGCCAGCGCCGCGCGGGCCCCCGACTCCCCCAGCGGCGCGTGCACGCGGGCCCGGGCGCCGCGATCCAGGGTCCGGGCCCCGCGCGCGCCGAGCCCGTCCGTTTGTGCGCGCGGTCCGGGCCCACGCAGCGCCCCGCGCCCGCACCTACCGGACGCGCTCGGCCGTGACGGCGTTGCCCGTGTGCCGCCGCAGCACCGCCACGAACAGGAGCCGCATGCCGCCGCCGCCAGCCAGGCCCGGGGCGGGGGCGGGGCGGGGCCGGGGACGCGGACCTGGCCCCCGCGGCGGGCGCTGGTGCTCCCTGGGCCGGTCCCGCCCGCCGCTCCCGAGGCCGCGCCCGCGCCCGCCGGTTCCGGCGCCGGGTCCCAGCGCGCGGCGGGGTGAGGCGAGGGGGGAGTGCGACCCCTCCCGCGGATGCGGAGGCCACGGCTGGGCTCTCGGGGGTCCAGGGGAAACCTGGGTGCGCTCCGACGGGGACCAGGTGTGGCGGTGGGTGTGCTGCCTTGCGGACCATTGGCGGAGGGGACTTGGGGTCCCCTCCCACAGGAACGAGGGTTGGTCACGAACCCCCCCCCCCCGCCCCCTGGGACCAGGGGTAGTTGCAGGTTGCTCCCGTGGGATCTGTGAGGCGCCGGGTCCTTTCCACCGGGGCCAGCAGCGGGGTGACTGCAGACTCCCTCCCTCAGGAGCCCGAGGCGGCCTGGAAGGAACGCTGTGGGCCCCGGGGTGGCCAGCGACTGCCTGGGTGGCTGCCAGCACCAGGCATCTCTGACCCTGCCTGAGAAATCAGATAGGAAGCCCCCGTCTCCACAGCTGACCGAATCTGAGAAGCAGCGCACCCCTTTAGATGAGTTCAAGATGAACTGGGCCATACCGGGTGTTTCAAGTTCGTCTGAGCACACGCGACTGCGGGGGGGGGGGAAGCCCAGAACTGGAAGAGGCTGGGGCTGGGCCGGAGCCCCCAGAGACCCAGGCACAAAATACCGAGGCAAAGCAAGACCCTTAATTGGCTACAATGTGAAGCCTCGTTGGCTGCTTGTGATTGGCTGTTCTTACATTTCAAACCCGTAACCTTGACCTTGAGGCGTTTACAGGCTCCCTCTGGGCTTATTTACATCAGCGCCAAGGCGGTGAGCCCGTGGGTCTAGTGGCCTTCTGGGGCCTGGGCTCTTCAGTTCACCACAGTGCTTGATGGCTCTGCAATTCCTTCACCATCTTGACCTGAATACAGGTTTTAAGAAGAAATTGAAGCTTCTTTCTTGGCTCCACAGTCACCAGGAGCCCAGGCTTCTTTCTAACTCCAGCATCCCAGTGTTGGGCCTCCGTTCCCAGCAGGGCCGTGGGGTGCGGTATGACTGCTGGAGTCCCGCCCATCACATTCATGTTCCAGGCGACAGGGACGACGGGCCAAAGGGTGCACCAAAATGACACGTTTCATTTCAAGAGCTCCTCCCGCAGTGTCCCCCAGGCCTGAGGCCTTTATCTTCCTGTGTCCGTGGCCAAGGCGGTGGGATTGCTGGGCACATTGTGGCCCTGAATCAGATGGCGGTCACTTAGCAATACCAGGTTCGAGGGGCTTGGATGTGGACAGAGCTTTTCCAGGGCAAGCACTCCATCCACTAACAGGCCCATATCCAACCTGACGGCTCATGTGAAGGCCCCGACCGACGCACCGGGACCCTTCCCCACTCCTCCTACCCAAGTGTGAGCTCAGTCATGGCTCCGACCTCCCCCTTGCTTGGGACGATGTCGTGGGTAGGGCAGGCACTTGCTAGATGTTTGCTGAATTAACTGAAATCATTGTATTTGAAGTGCTGTGAAATTTTATTCCTACGATGACACATTCCTGATTTTTTAATGGAAGTCAGTGCTGCAATAAGTCTTGCCAGGCTGAAATTCACTGTGGTTTGACGTTTCTGGAATACACCTGTTCCGTAGGGTACGAGAAGCTGTCATCTTTGGGGGCCCATTTCTGTGTTCATTCGTTGCTTCGATGTGCCCATTCAGGAGACATGAAGGACCGTACACAGTATCATAGCTAATTAGTTCATTTAGGTGAAGTCTTTTATGATTCTCCCAAGTAGGCAGTAGAAAGGGGTTCAAAGACAAATGTGATATTATGGGATGATACAGAAATAATTAGTGGAGGGGGGCATGGTGAGAATAGAAAAGGTTGTAAGCATTGCTTGTAAGACTTCTCCAGGTGCTTCAAACAGTAGGGTCTTAAAATATATGTAAAGCAAAATCCGTTTTCTCTTTCATCATAGTGTTTGCTTAGGCTATGTCTCTGGTTCACGGTGCCAGGGGAAATGGAAGTGTGTTATTTGCCCTGTGTAAAAGTGATCGCGTCTGACTTTAGATGTGGCTCATGATAAAAATCAACACTTCACATGTTTCTTTTTTTTTTTTGCTTTCATGACATTAACAAACGAGGCACCTTCCTTCTCTTTTCCTATCATATTTCCATCTCTGCACCATCATCATCCCCCACCACAATGCTGAGAGCTACAAATGTGGGGCTGGGGCGGGGCGGGGGTGGGGATCTTCCTAAAAACCAAAGACACATATACAACTGTGGTTTAAGCACCCTGGTTAGGTTTCCTTTTCCAGGCTTTCACGGACAGCACCTGATGTGATCAAATGCAAAAGAAAGCCATCCGTCTAAAGTCACTGGTTTCTCCCAATGTGGCTTAGCAAGCCGGGGGGGGGGGGGGGGGGGGGTCAACCAGAACCAGATGATCTCCCCTTTGAGCTTTTGGCAAAAAAGAAAAAGCAGGCCTTTCTTCCCACTGCTGTTCTGAAGGTGAGGTGTGGTGGGCTCCTAACTCTTCAGCACAAGGATGCTCACCCCCAACTTCTCGTGGCTGCCCGGTGAGACATTCGGCGCGAAGGCATTGACGCTGCTCGGAGGCCTCCCGGGTCTCCTGACACAAGAGACAAAGGTCCAATTCTGTGCACATCAGGGGTCGACAAAAGGGAAGATATTTTTACCTGCGGCCAGTGACAACCTGTTGTCTGCTGAGACCCGTATTCATTCTTTAAATTTTTTCATTTATTTCTATTAGATGCCCATGTATGTTTAGCACATGCAGATGAACAAAAGAGAATTTAACAGTCACCCTGAACCCCACTGCCCTGAGAGGACCGCCCTGGGCACTGGGGCGTCAGGTTTCTGCAGACCCTGTGAGTCTGACCACGAGAACAGTCGCGTTCACTGGCACCCACCCTGCAGCCGGCGCTGTGGCAGGCACTGGGCGGTCCACTGCTCTCCCCCCACCCCGGCCGGCTGGCAGTACTGTTCTCTGCCCTTCAGAGGTGAGGAGCGGGGACTCAAGGAGGTAGGGTGTCTCCCAGAGGAACACAGACGGGATGGACGCTACCGTCCCTTCGCCTCTGCTACGTGGACACTGGGTTTTGTCAACTTTATCACTTTGGTTTGTGCTGGTTGTTTCATTATGAAAAGTAAAAATGCTTCACATGGGTTCAGTTTGTTGTTGCGCTTGTGTTTTGTTTTGTTATTTGCTCTTTTTTACTTAATAACCGTGGTGGGCAAAACGCTAACACGGCCCCACGGTCCCCAGCCTCCTAATTTGTACCTTCTCCCACTTATTCAAACGCCCAACCAGGTGATGGGGTGAAGAGAATTTGTAGATTAAATCCCTAAATTAGTCACCCTTAAAATAGGGAGATTATGCAGGGTGAGTGTCATCCGGTAATTGTCCCTTTAGAGGTGCTGGCACTTCCCGATGTCGGCAGAGCTCTGGTGCCAGAGGAATGCGAGGTCAGGAAGCATCTCTACTGCTGCCTTGGGGACCCCAGCAGCCACGAGCGCGGAGAGCAACCTCCACCCAGCAGCTGGCAGGAAACGGGCACCTTTACCCCCCAGCTCAACACACTAGACCCTGCCGCAGCCCCAGGAGCCAGAAAGGGCTCCAGATGAGACCTCGGCCCAGGCCCCCTCCACTCCTGCTGTGTGAGGCCCTGGGCTGAGAGCCAGCCGGCCTTGCCCAGACTCCTGACCTACACAGCGTGCGCGGGCACACGGGGTGGACTGCGGCCGCTGCACTGGTGGGACTTGTTTAGGAACGACAAAACAAACACGGTCTGCGTGTCCTCAGTGCCTTCCACCTCATTTGAGGAGCTCCGTAGCGTCCCACTGTGCCCGTGCACGACAGTCAAGGCCTTCCCACTGTAGACCTTTGCCTCTTCCAATCCTTCCGCTACCGTACGCAACATCGCAGCGGACGTTCTAAATTCCTGGGAACGGCACTACACACGGAGGTGAATGTGGTTTTGATATAAATACACCCAACTGCCCTCTAGAAACGCTGCGCCAAATGTCTCCCCCGCCCCACTGGCCGCTTAGGAGCACACACTTCCCTCCCCAAACTGCCAACACTTCGAGGGACCTGTCCTGTCTTTTTGCATTTTTAAGTTTTCGGTTCAACTGGACTTTTGTTGTTGTTGTTGTTCCCTTTGAAGGGCATTTGTATCTTTTCTTTTTTAACGTGTGTGCATGCTTGTATTAGCTGGAACTTTTTCAGTTGCAAGGGACAGAAAGTCACAGTTGTTTACTCAGAAAGAGAGATGATAGGCTCACAACGGAATGTCCAGGAAAAAAGCAACTCTAAGTGATGCGCAGAGCCTCACCCAGATGTGTCCTTCCCTCTCCGTCTGTGCCTTATACAAGGTGTGCCCTGGAGACTCCAGGCTTGTACTCTTGTCATCACACGTCCAGCGGAAGGAACATGGTACGTCGTGGCCTGGCTCTGGTGAGGCCGGCCTGGGCCACCTGTCCCATCTTTGAGCCAGTGGCTGTAGCTCAGCAGAGGGACACAACAGTGGCCACAGCTGGCCTAGAGGAGACACCGTGGCGGGGGGGGGCATCCTCCCTGACGCCCAGACACTCACTTCACCAGTTTTACTTATTGGATATTCACCCAGTACAGCCCACAAGATTCCTAGGAACTTATAAAATGAAGACAGTAACTTTGTCATATGTATTTCAAGTACTTTTTAGGTCTGTTTGCTGTAAACAGCAATTATCCTCTTTACCAAGGAAGTTTTTAGTCTTTATGTACTCAAATCACCTGACGGGCCTGTGGCTTTCATGTTAGGCTTAGAAAAGCATCCCTTGCCCTCAGAGATTCTATTTGCCAGTATTTTCACTGAATGCTTTTTATTTTTTTTTTTAATTGCTCCATGACAATATTTTATCTCTCTTGAATTTATGCTGGTTCGAAATGTGAAAACTATTTTTCCCACATGTAATGGTTGTGTATTCCAACAGGATTCATTGAGGAATCCGTGCTTTTCTCCATCCGTTGGAAATGCCTTCATTATCGTTTGCTGAATTATGTTACACGTGTGCTTCGATTCTTCTCCTTCCTGCATATCCACCTCCACTGACCTTTCCCGTGAGGCCTAATCTGAAAAACAAATACACTTGTAGCTACCAATTACCTACCTTATGACTGCAATGTGGATGAGGAATTACAAAGCGGTGGTTACAACAGAATGGTGAGGCGTAGCCACATCTGGCACTTCTTCAACTGGAGGAAGCAGAAGTTCCTTTTCTTTCACTTTCCCTCTCTCCTCCCTCTCCTACTTAGCTGGTGAATGCCTGGCCATTGCAGATGACCTGGGGCCTTTTTAAGCACAGGAGGAAATACTCCCAAAGAGCAGACGTTGCTATGCACACGGGTCAGGTAAAATGAGTGCTTAAAATAAGGCAACGCCAAGCCTGTCTTCCTGGCCACACGCTCTCACCTCCCCTGTGAAAACAAAACACAAGTCATCCCGGAGCTGAATTAACTGGCGCAGCGGCAGCAGGCGAGCTTGGCTTTGCTGCGGGCTCGAGAACAGCAGGCCCGACTCCACCCATGGGTCAGCTCTGCCTTTCCTGCCTCGGTTTTCTGCTTCCACCTCAATTCTCGGTAGCCAGACAGAGCTGTTACAACAGCGACTCCCTGAAACACACAGCACTTAGGACAAGCCTGCCCCAGTATGGCCTGACTGTAAGGCCACAGTCTGCTGTGCAGAGACGAGCAGGGCCTGTCGTGGTCCCCGGGGTGGAACCGGAGAGCCAGAAAAGCAGAAGCATTGTCCACCAGTGCTGACGCGGAGTGGTCACTCCTTGCAGAGGACGGTCGGCCGGTGACGTGCGGATGGCACAGATCATCCGTGATGGCTAGCTGTGAACCAGCATTTTAAGGAAGCCGAAACTGTGAGTAAGCAGATACAACATTTGCGGAAAGGGGCAAGCCACGCAGAAGTGACACGCGCCGTAAACATCATGAAAAAGTCAGAGAAATTCAACCAGCCCCTGAACTGTCCTCGGTGTCTCATGGCTTCTGAATTCACTCTGTCAGATCAAATCTCTTCTCTGGGGACGCGGCAGTGGTGGAGCAGGGAAGGGTCCTGCGTCTGACAGCCAGCCGTGCACCCCGTCCACACCCCCAGCCAGCAGCCTTGCAGTAAGGCCCGCTCTCCCATGGGGCCCTTGAGGTGAAGAGGCTGCGGCAAAACTATACTCCATAAGATGACGTTTCCCTAGATGCTAGCTGTGTGACTCAGGTCATTTACTCACTTATTTAGGTTCCAAGGAGAGAGTCACACAATCACTTCCAGGAATAGGCACTTATTACAAGCATACTCCAGGGGCACCTGGGGGGCTCAGTCGGTTAAGCATCCAACTTCGGCTCAGGTCGTGATCTCACAGTTTGTGGGTTCGAGCCCCACGTCGGGCTCTGTGTTGACAGCTCAGAGCCTGGAGCCTGTTTCGGATTCTGTGTCTCCCTCTCTCTCTGACCCTCCCCTGCTCACACGGTCTCTCTCTCAGAAATAAAACATTAAAAAAATTTTTTTAAAAAGCATACTCCATACAGCGTCCGCTTGTGTCAGTTCTTTAGGGTCATGATCACGGGCTTCGCACACGGGCTCCCATGCATGGAATGCAGGGGCTCTCACAGCAGACTGGCCGGGTGTGAGGAACACAGTGGGCTGCTCTCGTTTTTCTTTATATTCTTACTTTTTGATAGAGTCGTGACAGGTGGCTTTTGGCTACAAGCAACAGGACACCCAACACGTGGCCTAAAATGGTGTACGGTTTGTGACCCATCATTGCCTAACTTCTCCCTGATGCTCTGCCGTGCCGTCCACACCCCCAGCTGGCTCACCGCAGGAGGATGACACAGCCCCAGCAGCAATGACAGCTCCAGGCTTCCTAGTTTGTGCCCCGTTTGGAAGACCACGTGTGTCCTGCAGGCCCGGAACTAGAGTCCTTTCTTTTAGCCTGACTGGGCCAACTTCTGTCATTTGTCAGCTGCTGGGCCCTGGGGGAATTTCGTGTCTTGAATAGTTAGAGTCTGGGTTTCTGAACAGGCATGACAGACTAGTATTGGTTTCAAGCAGTCAGATCTAGAAACAAAGATGAAGTTGGCTTCTCCTGAGGAGTGACATGGGTGGCTGGTGGGGAGCGGGGTGGGCAGGGACAAACGGAGAGGGGGCAGCCCAGTGGAATCGGGACTCTGTTTGGAAGGACAGGCGGATGTGCCTGTTGGACAAGCAGGAATCAATCGTGCCCACGGCATGTCCGTATAGGGCAGCACTGACCCACAGACTTTCTGCGGTGACGCGTGACCTATACGTGCTGCCACCATGGGAGCCATCAGTCACATGAGGCCACTGGGCACGTGAGTGTCGCTGCTGTGACCGAGGAACAGAATTTCTCATTTTATTAAACTTGCAGCGACTGAAGTTCAAACAGCCACCAGGGCTCGTGGCTAGTGCACCGGCCAACACAACCTGAGAGAACGCGTCTGCGGTAAGAAAGCAAGACGACAGAGGGTGCGGAGGAGCTGGGTGAACTGGGCAGCATGCACCCCGCAGAAGACCGGGGCTGCCACCTGCTGTGGGCAGACTGTGGCCGCGGGCCGAGGCAGGTGTGTTTGCATCATCTCATGCTGCCTAACAAACCTGCCCCACACTCAGTGCTTTAAAATAGCAACTTTTTCACTTGTTCTCGGTTCCGCACGCGGTCGGGGCCGAGACCCGGTTGGGCAGCCTTTCCGTCGGGCCTGCTGTTGGTCCCTCATACGGCTTCCTTCAGCCAGCAGGTCGGCTGGGACGGCGGGACCTCCTCTCCACGTCGCCGCTGCCTCTCCTTCAACACCTGGTCTTTCCAGCGAGGACCCCGGGCTTCTCACAAGGTGGTTCAGGGCCTCCAGGACACAAGAGTAGAAGCTGCCAGAACTTCCTACAGTTTGGGCCCCGCCCCGGCCCAGGGACATGCCGCCACATTCTACTGAAGCAAGTCACAGGCCTGGACAGTGTGAAAAATCACTGCAAACAAACCACAACACCTCTTCCTGTCGGACTGTTTTGCAACCTCAAGATGTCAGAGGCAGCAGTGCACAGCAGACTTCCCCTGGACCAGGAACCGCCCCGGCTCCTCAGTGTACATCCTGAGCTCTAACTCCTGCCCCTACCTTGTTCACTTAGCTGGGTACTTCTCAGGGGACACCACTCAGTTGGGTTGGTCGGCTGTCATTCAAAATGGCACATCCGTATCGGGGAGGGGAGAACTTCCCATGAAATCATCACATGAACCGAGCTGAATGGCTTAACTTTTGTCCCATGTCTACCCTGCACTTTGCCTGAGAGTGTCAACTTTATCAGTCTCTTGAACAAATACTTGAAGTTTCTGTCTCCCGGACCAGCCTGAGTACAGAAGCAGCACCGCACTGTACCAAGAGTTACATAAAAGCCTTTTATTGGAGACTGAGCTCTACAGGGGCGCCTGGGTGGCTCAGTTGGTTAGACGTCTGATGTTTTATTTCAGCTTAGGTCACCATCTCACAGTTTGTGGGTTCAAGCTCCATGTCAGTGTGGAGCCTGCTTGGGATTCTCTTTCTCTCTCTCCTCTCTTCCCCTCCTGTGCTCGCTCTCTCAAGACAAATGAAAACTTAAAAAAAAAGAAAAAAAAAAAAAAAGACTGAGCTCTACTGCCTACGAGGTGTGTGATCCTGAACAGGAATCTTAAATGGTTTGCCTTTTAGTTAAATTAGGATACTAACATATGCTGTAGAAATCACAGGGGTCTCAGAAAAATAAAGCAATAAAATAAAAAACAGCAAGAAGACAGTGAATATAAACTATTATTTTGGCATCATTTAAACTTCAACAAACATCCATTCATTTAATTCCATACACAGTTACCATGGGCGCGGGCTGTGGTAGATTCTAGAAGTGCAGTAATGGACAAACAAAATCACAGCCCTCCCTGAAGACCGGTATTAAATCATTTCGCAAAATACGTAATCATAAGAGAGTGTCGTGAAAACAACGCACAGGGTACTCAAAAGACGTAGGAAGAGGGACCTGACCTCTTCTAGGAGGATCAGGATGGAGGACAATTAGCATTGATGGACTGGATGGGAAGGTCCTGTACCGTCATTCAACGATTCTCTCTTGAAACGGCGTTAAGTATTCATCTCCCGCCTGCCGGGCCGGCACCAGCACCGTGGGAGGCACATCTACGTGTCCACGTTTAGGAAAACAAAAAAGGGAATACATGCTCCCGAGGCCTTTATGCCAGATTTCTCCGCCAGATGACCTACCAGCAAGCCCACTGCCCGGGGAACAGCTCCATCCTTCTCCTGGCTGGCCTCAAACATGGAGGAAGGAAGCGGCAGGGTCTCACACGAATCGCCATCATCCAGCTGTGGGTCGCGATATCTCAAGCCATGGCGGGGCCATTTCTGGAGGACACGCTTCCCCACCGTGTGCCCGTGGTCGCTGTTGTAGGTGCTGTGGGCGTGGACAATAAGACACTTTAGGTTCCCGCCACCATGGAGCTTGTACCAGTGGGGACCAGTGAAAGTCAGGGAGGACACGGAATACAGGAATTAAAAAAAAAAAAAAAAAAAAGTGACAGGTGCTTTGCAGAAACTAAAACGGCAACGGGATGGGGACGGGATGCACCTCAGATGGGATGGCGAAGAAATGCTTGCAAGGATGGGCGCCGGAGCTGAGGCCTGAAGGGAAACGGGAGGCCAGCCAGAGGCCAAGCAGGCAAGCTCGCCGCCTGACGTCGGGGGCAGCGGCTCGTCACGCGGCGGTGGGAGTGGGGGTGTCTCCTGGGGGCTATCTGGGGACCGTGTGCAGACAGGGTGCTTGCCACGCTGGGGGGCGAGGGTGGAACCGACGCCCGAAGAACAGCAGAAGCTGGGGTGCCGCTCACCGGCCTTCCGTGCACCGGGCGGCCCCACACAGGACCACTGGCCCCAAACGCCGGCGCTGCACCTGCACAGGAACCTCGTCCCGAGGCAGGAAGGTTTGCAAATCAGCCCGGAACACCAGGCAGAGCCCGAAGCTGCCGTACGAGGGGTCTGTCTACGCTTCCTCGGAGTGACACGCACGATTCCGCTTTTAAAACCCGGTAAGGGGCAACTCCGGAGTTCGGGGCTCCACTCCCGGTAGGAGGGGACGCGCTGCCCGGCTGGGCTTCCGGGAGGAACCGGAAGTTGCTAGCGGCGACCAATGGGGGCGCCGAGGGGCGGGTCTCGCGAGAAGGGAGGTGGCGGCGGCGGCCAATGGGAGCTGCGCGAGGGCGGGCCGAGGCGCGGCCGGCGGGTCTCGCGGGCAGGGCGGCGGCGGCGGCCGGGCGCGGGGCGGCGGGCGCATGGAGGGCGCGGGCGGCGAGCGGGCGCCGCTGCTGGGCGCGCGGCGGGAGGCGTTCGCGGGCCGGCGCGCGGCGTGCGCGGCCGTGCTGCTGACGGAGCTGCTGGAGCGCGCCGCCTTCTACGGCGTCACCGCCAACCTGGTGCTGTTCCTGAACGGCGAGCCGTTCGGCTGGGAGGGCGCGCAGGCCAGCCAGGCGCTGCTCCTCTTCCTGGGCCTCGCCTACCTGGTGTCGCCGTTCGGCGGCTGGCTGGCCGACGCGCAGCTCGGCCGCGCGCGCGCCATCCTGCTCAGCCTGGCGCTCTACCTGCTGGGCATGCTGGCCTTCCCGCTGCTGGCGGCGCCCGCCACGCGCCCCGCCTTCTGCGGGGCCCCGCGCCCCACGCGCGTCCGCAACTGCTCGGCGCCGCCCTGCCCGGACGCGGCCGCCCGCTACTGCGCGCCCGCCGCGCTGACCGCGCTGGCGCTTGCAGGCCTGGGCGTGGGCGCCGTCAAGGCCAACGTCACGCCCTTCGGCGCCGACCAGGTGAGCGCCGCGCGGGCGTCCAGGGGTGCGCCCAGGGGTGCGCTGGGGCGGGGATGCGCGCCGGGGAGTGCCGGGCACGCCTAGGGGATGGCCTGCGGGCCCTGCCTTCTGGGACCGGGCCTCTGGGGAGGGATGGCCAGGAGGCTCTGGGTGGAAGTCACTTCCTTTTTGGGAGTGGAGCCCTGAAGGCTGTCAGAGGTAGCAGCTGTCAGAAGAGAGTTCGGGGACAAGCCAACAACAGGTGCAAAGGGCCTGGGGCCAGCAAGAGAGGGGGTGCCCCTGTTGCTCTAGTCGCTAAAGCACAGCGTGCGAAGCAGGTGAAATGTATCAAGGCAGCACACATTAGACACACTTAGGAGTAGGTAAGCTTGTACGCCAAATACACTTAAAAACAACAACAACAACAAAAATCCCAAAACAGAAGTGAGGAGAGGTGGTAGGAAGGGGCCAGGTCCCGGGAAACTTTTAAAAGACTTCGAGGGGCGCCTGGCTGGCTCAGTCGGAGAGCATGGGACTCTTGATCGTGGGGTTGTGAGTTCAAACCCATGTTGGCTGTAGAGATAATTTAAATAAGTACAACTGAAAAAAAAAACTGTGAGGTGTTCTGAACACAGTAGAAAGTCTTCGGGGGGTTGACTGGGGAAAAGACTGATGAGATGTGTGCTTCTGGAAGAGGGGCCCCCAGAGCAGCTGTGGTCGGCAGCCGTGACCTGGCAGCCAGCTCTGGTCTACTTCCTGTTAGTGGGGGGCCCGCACGCTAAGAATAGACGGTTCTTAAGTTTCTAACTGAGGGAGGAGAAAAGAAAGCGTGAAGAATGTTTTGTGACAAGTGAAAATCTGTGAAAATCACGTTTCAGTCTCTGTGAATCAAGCTTTACGTGCCACCTGCTGCTGGTCACACACTCGCCGTGGCCTGGCTGCTGTGACAGCGCGCTTGCGGGGTCGGGCAGTCGTAACAGCGACTGGAGGCCTCGTAAAACCTGCGGTGTCACGCTCAGCCCCTTCCCACAGAGTTTGTGACGCCCGGTGCGCAGACCCAGGTGACCCTGTGACCAGGTGCGCAGAATCGGTGACCACAGGCGGACCAGGGAGGCTGTGGGCTAGGGGGAGGGGCCCGGGGACACGGAGCGAAGAGGACGGATCTGGGATAAGCTGTGGAGGCAGAGCGGGCAGGAGTGCAGCCGGGTCGTCTGAGCAGCGGGGAAGACGACGCCTAGGTCTTTGTGCTGAGTAACCGTGTGATTCTTGCTGAGGGTGGCTCCGCCCCAGGCCCTTATGGTAGGGAGTTTACGACTCCACATGACACTGTTGCGGTCGTGCCCAGTACACAGATGAGGAAACTGAGGCTTAAGAGGTTAAATCGTTTGCCCAAAGTCACGCAGCCAGTACGTGACAGCCAGGATGGGAGAGCGTGTCCTTTGAACCTGAGCCCCGCAGGCGCCCCGACATTAAGTTTCTTAGGTGTGATAATAGTCTGTGGTCGTGTAGAAGAATGGCTTTATTTCTAGATTCACGTGGGGTGAAATGTCATCCTGCTGCAACTTATTTTTAAATCGCTCAGCCTGAAGAGTATGTCATTTATGGGTGCGGAAGAAGAGAACTCAGGATCGAAGTGAAGGGCACACAAAGTGTGTTTTACTCTTCCTGCAGCTTCTCTGTAAGGTGAAGACATTTCAGTAAGATGTTGACACGTCCTTGAACCCATGCACGGTAAGGTAGATGGGGGCCCTCCGTCCAGCGGAACGTCCCCCAGCCGTAGGCGTGGGCGCTGGTGGGTGCTAGTGGGTGCTGTGACGTGATGAATGTTGAAAACACCATGTCAACTAAAGGATCCAGACGTGAGAGGCCACGTGTCCTTTTTATTCCGTTTCTACACAGATGCTCAGAAAGGACAGATCAGAAAGACTTCCAGGGTAGTGGGAGCCGGGGGCCCGTGGAGACGGGGTGGGGGGGCTCATGGAATGTGGACTTGATCGTGGCCGTGGCTTCCCAGTGGGGGTGGGCTACAAACCACCAGGATGTACTTTTCTAAGTGGGGAACTGTTTTGTGCGTGGACCGTATCAGGAGAAAGCACTGACCAGGAAAACGTGGGTGCTGGGTGTCCGGGCATGAAGCCTGCCGGGCTCTTCTCCGGGGTGGGTTGGCTCGTCACCTCCTTGCTTCGAGGATGGCTACTTGTGTTTTTTGTTTTTTGTTTTTAATTTTTTTTTAATGTGTTTTTATTTATTTCTAGGAGAGAGAGAGACAGCGTGAGCAGGGGAGGGTCAGAGAGAGAGGGAGATACAGACTCTGAAACAGGCTCCAGGCTCTGAGCTGGCAGTCAGCACAGAGCCCGACGCGGGGCTCGAACCCACAAACTGCGAGATCATGACCTGAGCCGAAGGCGGATGCTTAATCGACTGAGCCACCTGGGCGCCCCCTTTGCATCATTTTTTAAAAATATTTTTTATTTATTTCTAGGAGAGAGATAGAGACAGTGTGAGCAGGGGAGGGGCAGAGGGAGAGGGAGTCACAGACTCTGAAACAGGCTCCAGGCTCTGAGCTGGCAGTCAGCACAGAGCCCGACGCGGGGCTCGAACCCACAAACCGCAAGATCATGACCTAAGCGAAAGTCGGACGCTTAACCGACTAAACCACCCAGGCGCCCTGGCTACTTGTGTTTTTAAGGTGCCGGTTACCTTCTCTGTCACTGCCCCCGTCCCCTGCCCCGCACAGGGCCTTGAGGGAGCACCTGAGGGGCAGCTGTGAGGGACCAGGGCAGCGTGGGGGCATCTCTCCTTCCTCTCCTTCCTCCCCAGCGGCTAAACTTTTTCAGGGGTCATAACTGCCCTTTCAAATCCTGAACTGAAAGAAGAAAGACAGATAAAGAGGGGAAATGATACTTTTTCTTTTTTTTTTTTTTCTGGAGGGGGAACAAAGTTGCAGCCTTGTGCATTTTAAGGAATTTTTCCAACTCTGCCAGCTGTTTGACTCACTGTACACGGTTCTGTTCTCTTCGCTGGACTTTTCTGAATTGATTGCCGTGGCTCCTTTGGACCGGTCACATGAGAAGCTTGTTTACCCTCCGTGGGGAAGGGCATGAGCCCCTGAGCAGATGACGGTGTGATGTGACTAAGCCAGCTCAGGGCGTGTGACTTGCAGTTTATAGGAGCCAGTTTCCCATTTGTGGAGGGAAAAAAAAATCACTGGTATGTGGTTATTTAAGGCCTCAGTAACAGGCTTAGGTTTCTAAAGTAACATTGGTGAATTATGCTTGGAAGTTCAAATAAGTTCAGTGCCAGGTTCACATGGGACCCTGTGTGCGGCGCTGCCGTGGGCGATGAAAAGGGTCCGATGTCTTTGATTGTAGATGTGCTGACTGACTGGTCCTCTTCCCTCGGGGCTGGCTGAGCTCCTCCACCGCCCTTACTGGTTTTTATGTCCTTAGTTATATTTTCTCTGTAACTGTTTCTCTGCTTACAATGTGTCCTTCCTCTGGTCTGCGTCTGGGATACAGTGCGTATTCACGTCCAGGTTAGTACCAGGTTAGTAACGTTTATATGCATCACGGTGCCATGAAGAGCTGTCTCAGAAGCACGTGAAATTCCCAGGGCACATCCTCCGTTCTGTGCTCACGCCAGCCTCCGGTCTGGGACCTCTGTCCAGTCCTGACGTAGTGGGGGACAGGCTGAAGCTCCTGGGAACGTGTGGGCTGGTGATTCTCATGTAGTTACTTGAAGCGTGTTTCTTGCCGGCAGGTAGACCTACTTAATCATTTTGGATTAAAATATGTTTTTTCTTTTGGGTCACAGTTTTGACTACTTTGTATCTGTACTTTAATCTCAAAGCATAGAGATTAAAATATCACCTCAAGTTACAGGACTGCTAACAAGATGCTCTTTTGTATCTGGTATTGGGTGGCCTGGGCCCCCACTGAGAAGCTTCCGGGTTCTTTGGTAGTGCCGACTGCTCTGAAACAAACCTGGTCCGTTACTGGAACAGAATTCAGCCTTTTCTGATAACTTGTAACTTAAGGGGGAGACAACAGAGGTTCCTGCGGCCCTGGCTAGGAAGCTGTACGGGACGGGACGCCTGGGAGCTCAGTGGTTTAAGCGTCTGACTTCGGCTCAGGTCACGATCTCGTGGTGCATGAGTTCCAGCCCCGCTTCAGGCTCTGTGCTGACAGCTCAGAGCCTGGAGCTGCTTTGGATTCTGTGTCTCTGTCTCTCTCTGCCCCTCCCCTGCTCATGCTCTGTCTCTCAAAAATAAATGTTAAAAAAAATTAAAATGCCAGTTCCTGGGCCCCAGCCCCAGAGGCGATGACCCGGCAGGTCGGGAATGTGAGTCTTGTGACTGGGCACTCCTGGGGGGGGGGGGGGGGGGGGGCGGGGAGGGGGCGTTCCAGTGTTTCCAGAGCAGGTGGGCCCAGGTAGAGCTTGGAGAATCTCCTCTGGGTTTCTTGGGTGTCAGCATAACTAAAGGAAGCACTACCAGAAGGTGCAGTAATTCAGGTTATGGGTGCTGCCCGGCCAGGCGCCCCAGTGTGTCTGTACGCACCATCTGGTGGTGCCGCGTTCCTTACAGGCTGCGGTGGTGACGGTGACCCGTTTCTCATCCTTGAGGGTGATCACGTTTTAAAGTCTGTTTCCTCCCTGTTGTTTTAGGTTAAAGACCGAGGTCCAGAAGCCACAAGGAGATTTTTCAATTGGTTTTACTGGAGCATTAACCTGGGAGCAATCATTTCTCTGGGCGGCATCGCCTACATTCAGCAGAACGTGAGCTTTGTGACCGGCTACCTCATCCCCGTGGTCTGCATCGGGGTGGCCTTCCTGGTCTTCCTCTGCGGCCAGAGCGTTTTCATCACCAAGCCGCCCGACGGCAGTGCCTTCACACACGTGTTCAGGATACTGGCATACTCGTGCCGTCCCCAGAAGCGGACTGGAGAGCGTGGTCCCAGTGGGTGAGTGCTTGCCGGGACGCGCGTGCCCGGTGCTGTGAACGCCGTACTGGCTTGTGTGTGACGCGTGCTTCCCGCGTGCAGGGCTCCGGGCCGGCGGCTTCAGTACCTCACGTCCGCTCAAGGGGGTCCTGTGGTGCTATGTCTCCGTTTTGGTTTTTTTTAACTTTTATTCATATGTTTATTCATTCTTGAGAGTCAGAGCGTGAGCGGGGAGGGGCAGAGAGCGAGGGAGACACAGAATCCAAAGCAGCTCCAGGCTCTGAGCTGTCAGCACGGAGCCCGACGCGGGGCTCGAGCCCACGAACCGTGAGATCATGACCTGAGCCGAAGTCGGACGCCCAACCTCAGGTGGCCCTGCCGTGTCCATCTTACAGGCACTCGTGCTTTTAGTGTTTAACTTCCACGCTGAGGGGCCTGTCACCGCTGGTTCGGGTGGTGATGTGACGGTGACGGAGATGGACGTTGGCAGAGAGCACAGGAAAGGCGCCGTATGTATTCTCTCCATTTCCCTTTTTACTTTAAAAAGCTTTGAAATCCGTTTGAATGAAAAATCAAGCAATTGCTTACTTTGTATTGTACTCCCTAAACAATAAGCTGTTTTGTCCATCCTCTGAGTCAGCCTCTGAATGGTCAGCGTGGGCCCCGTCATCCACTGGTCCCTGCAGCCTCTCTGTGACAGAGGGACATCAGAGCCGAATTTTGAGAGGCAGGTGGGGGAACTCCCTCATCCCCTCTGTGTGGGGCTTCCCAGCTTTAGCGCTGGAATTCCCACGCCCTGAGGTTTTTAGCCCCGCAAGTCCCATGTTCAGGGGAAGTCCCCGCAAGCTGGGAGAGAGAGATGGTTAGGTCACCCTTGATGCATATTAATACAGAAAAGTCCGGAACTTAGCCCAAGAAGAGAGCTCAGCAGTTTCGGGGTTTGTTACTGAAGCGTGATGTACCTGTAATGCGGCGCCTCCCTCCTACCGTACGGCTCTGGAGTTAGGACGGCCTTATTCGGGCACGTCAGGATCTAGACTATTTCTGTCACCCCGGAGAAGTCCCCGGGACCCTTAGCGGTTGACCCCTTCAGGGACTTTTCTGATTAAAGCAGGCATTCCTGACGGGCGGCCGTCCCCAAGCCAGAGGCTGGCCCCTCAGCCACGCAGGGCTTTGGGCAGCACACTACTTGTTGGGTGGCACTGGCCTCTCTGGAAGATTCTGTGGGCCAGCCCCACCCCCACCCCCTCATGGCTGGTGGCTCTGAGCCATCCGCATGTCCAGTATTTCCTCTCACACCATGGGTTTGGAACCATTCCAGAGTAGCCCTCGCGGCTCTGCCCTTCTGCCCGGAGCTTCTGTGGCCCCACGTCTCTTCCCCCACCCCCATCCTGGGCTCTGACCCCCAGTGCCGACTGCAGGTGGTGGCAGTGTGTGCGGCGCGCGTCCATCAGGCGCCAGCAGGGGCTCCCACCCCGCACGTGTACTCAGTCCTTGGGTCGAGCACTTGCGAGCAGACCCAATCTGTGAAGCTCGGGGCGCCGGTGCGGTGGTGCCTGGTAGCCGTCCCTGCGGGAGGACGTCACGGCCTCCTGGACCTTCTGAGGTGTCCTGCACAAATGGCATGAAGAAAAAGATCTGGACTTTTACGTCAGAACCCGGTTTCCCTGTAGGCTTGGTGTGGGCGACGGGCGTGGTGAAGACCAGAAGGGCTGCCTCGCAGAGAAGCCTGTGGCCCAGGCAGCTCTCCCGTCACTCTTTCTTGCGCACAGGGTCCGAGCGCTGTGACCTTGCACGGGCTACTGACCTCGCCGGGCCTGCGTTCCCTCCTTGGGGGAATGGGACGAGGGGACAGGGCTCGTCTCACGGGGTCGTGGTGGAGCCTGAGAAGCTGGCGTGTGCACGGCCCCTGCCGAGAGCCTGGGGACCGCCAGCTGCGTGGTCAGGAGGGGGACGAGCTGCTTCACCTGGGGCTTCATCAGGCGCTAATGTCCAGGAGGCTCCAGCTTCCTTCTGCTCTAGGTTGATCTCTGTTTTGAAGATGACTTAACGCCAACTTCACCTGAGAAGTCCACGTACATCTGTGCGTTTATCAGACTGAGTGGGAATAGTCCTGAACCTGTTTGAGTTGAGAATCTGAGAATTAATGGACCCTCTTCCTGGGAGAGTGCTCCTGTGAGCACACAGCGGCCTCCGCGGACAGGCTCTGGGAGCACCGGCCTCGCGCCCTGGGGCACGCTCTGGGTTCTGTGTGTGTCCCAGGCCACTTGTGTCCGTGGCTGCGGGTTGGACCCTGGTGTGCTGCACAATAATAACACTAGGGAAAGCCTGAGGTGCATTTGACTCTTCAGCAGTGTCCAAAATGCCATCATGATACAAAGTAAGCAACATGACCAGTAACGTGTGAATGACTCGTCATCTGACCCTGACGGGATGTTAGACAAACACACGTAGATGCTGTGGGAAGTCGTTGGTAGTGTCTGTACTGGGTACCTAAGGACTTTACAGCTGCTTCTGGCCAAAGAGTAAACTTGGAGAAGCTTAATGATTATTTTCAAATGGAAGTCTGAATAATATCTTTGGAATTTAGAGATTCTCTTTGAGCGTGGTTTCCCTGATTCTTTTCCCTGTGAGATAAGCTACGTGCGGCTCGGGGTAACACCTCTATATTCCCAGCTCCCAGCCAGCACGGGCCCGGACATGTAGGCGCTCGGTAAATATTTGTTGAACGGAACTTTCCTGTCCAAAATATGGCTAAAATATTAAGTTGCAGTTTGGTTTTTTTGGTCCTCCTCCCCCCAACCCCCCTGAATGTTCGGATTAAGAAATGTCAATGTCATAAAAAAAAAAAAAAAAGCCAACATTATAGGACAAAAATGATTTAAAATAGTAGTAAGTAACTTAAATTTGTTGATTTAGAAAGTAGAAAGCAGACAGCTGCCATTTATATCTGAGTCCCAGACTTGGAAGAATTCTTGATGGTACTGAATTACCTCCTGGAGTTTCTGGCTTTACAGGGTAGTTGGTTGATGAACGCACTTTTCTGTTCCTCTCCCTAACGACCTAAGAGCACCCATGTCCGTTAGAGTGTTCAGAAGCTGCCCATTTTCTGACTACTGAAAGTACCCCGGCGTAAGCGGGCGGGCGCTGCGCTGGTATCCGAGCCAGGGCCACAGGGCCTGAGCCCGGAGCTCGGCCAGCACGCTGAGTGCCAGGGCGGTGGCGTCCCGGCCCCGGGCTCTGTCACGCAGTGCGTCCCTTGCGCTCTGCGCCCGGCTTCCTCTGCAGTGGGGCCAGCGGGGGTATCTTGATGCCTCATAGGCTCGTGGTCAAGGTTAACGGGCAAGTGCTCAGAGCCCCTGGTGCCAGGTGACCTCATGCTACCGTCACAATCCCAGCCTTCCCGCTGGAACGGATCGCTTCCTCATGGCCGTGTCGGTGGCTGCGCTTTAAGTACGCAGCCTGGTTAACAACCTCAGTATTATGGTCGCCAGGTCTTCACATTTAGAAGGCAACCGGATTCAAAATCCAAACCATCCCGCACAGCTTTTTCCCTAAACGCTGATGCAGCGATGTAGCTGCGGTAGCGGCTGGAGCAGAGGGAGCCGTGGGCCCTCCTCAGTGCGGGTGAGCAGAGCAGGGGGAGGCCAGACGAGGCCCCATGCCCGCCACGGCAGCACCCCTCCCCAGGGTGAGTCGGTGGGCGATGGGCTAAAGGAAAGCACATCTGTACAGCCAGCTGCTTACCTGCCTTGAGACTTAAATTGTTGCCAGATCGCACGTTTCCGGGGGTGGAAGAGAACTAACTCCTGCATTTTATCTCCCAAAGTGAAGGCATTGGAGCCCTTCAGCACCCTTCTAAACACAGTCTGTTTGATTCATGTAAGAGGTCTCGCGGAGGGCCGTTTACGGAAGACACAGTGGACGACGTGAAGGCCCTTGTGAAGATCATCCCCGTCTTCCTGGCTTTGATACCCTACTGGACGGTGTACTTCCAAGTGAGTGCTGGTGGGTGTGCCCCTTCCCCCCCCGGGACACGGCCCCGTGGCGGCCCTCCTGGGAGTCTGGGGTCCTGGAGTCCCGCTGTCGCGGGCGGAACTCCGTGCTGCCGAGTTCAGTGTTGCGAAAACCCTCCACTGAGAGAAGCTGAGAGCAGCTGTGCTCCTAGGCTCCAGGGCCCACCTTTGGGTTCCGTTTCTCCGTCACTTCTTTTTCCAACTTGGTCTCCAGACGTCTTGTGGTGGCCAGACAGCTGGGCCGTGTTCAGCCGGGGCATTGCATGTTGGCCCCCGGAGCGGTGTGGGCGCTGGCGCGCCCCAGCCTCGCACACCAACCACCCTGCTCTCTCCCCCAGATGCAGACAACGTACGTTCTGCAGAGTCTTCACCTGAAGATTCCAGCAATTTCCAGCATCACAGCCACTCCTCATACGGTGAGAACACCCTGGGTGCTGTTAAAATTGTCCCCGCAGCTTGTGTGACACACGGGGTCCCCCCACGGGCCTCCCGAGCTCCCGCCATCGAGAGGGCCAGGAGCAGTCTTGCTGGAACGCAGCCTCTGCTTGTTTTCGGCGGTTCTTCGTTGGCTGCATCGTTACCAGACTTCACTGACGTCAGCTCAACAGCAGCGTCCTCACCGCGCTTTCCCCACTTTGAGCACAGGACGGTGGACGCAGAGGCATTTAAAATGGGTCTTTTTCAGTTATGGTGTCGTGAACCTGGGACTTCTTCCCTAGGTGGTTTCTCTGTGTAGGAGTGGATTGTTCTAGAAAGACAGGTTTCCCATTGCACGTTGGCCCCTCCCAGGAACTAACCTTGCTTGTGACTCCAGTTCCCAGCGGCCTGGCTGACCATGTTCGACGCGGTTCTCATCCTGCTGCTGATCCCCTTGAAGGATAAGCTGGTCGACCCTGTTCTGCGCAGGAATGGCTTGCTCCCGTCGTCCCTGAAGAGGATCGCCGTGGGGATGTTCTTTGTGATGTGCTCTGCCTTCGCTGCAGGTGAGAAGGCGTCTCTGTGCCACCCTAGAACCCGGAACTGGCCTCGGCAGCCGCAGCCGCCCCGGGCCCGCTGCTTGCGCACCGGGAAGCAGACCCGCCTGGGGCCCTGTGAACGTGGCTACTGTTCCTTCTCTAGCTTCCGTTATGAGACGTTTAAGATTTTCTTCCCGAGGCTCCACCATTTTCCTTCTAGATCCAAAGCCAGTCACGGGCTGGGGAGGTGACCTGGCCTGGACTGGAGGAGCCTTGTGGCCCCCCTGCCGATTGAGATCTTGGGCAATTGTCACCTGCCAAATGGATGAATGTTGACGTGACTCTCAGAGATGGGGATTCACCCTTGGTGTTGACATTAGGTCTGCTGGTCAGCTTCTGCCTGTCCCGGACCCTTGTGTTTTTATGTGACATTGTGTGTGCATTTCGTGACAAGAAATGTTTTGTCAAACACAGGCTCACGACCAGCCCCCATGCCCTAGAAAGAATCAGCCTGAGAGCTGATGCCTACTGTACCCCTTCACTGAGGACGGGAGTTTTCCCTGACTCTGATCTGAGAACAGAGGTTGGCATACCTTCTGCTGGGGAAGCCGAGGTTTCGCCGACTTCTTCCCCTCACCCTGATGTCTTCCTTCATTAGTACTTGAAAGTTATCGAGCTGTAAGCTAGCATAGTAACACAAGAACAGAAGAGCTGGTATTCCTGAACCGACGATATATCACCCGGTGTTATGAGGAATTAACGTGAGGCCCTGCTGAGACAGAATTTAATATTCTCCAGCAGTGTTTTCTAGCAGCCTCCATGCGCTATCTCCAGAGTGAACATATTGATACAGTACTTAACAGATTTAAAGAAATGAGTCCCTAGGCTTAAGAAATCTATATTCCAGGGACCAGGACATTTTAGAAGACAATTACGTTTTGTCTTGATCAAATAGATAATTAAAGCGAGGTTGTGTCAGAATGAAGTTTTCACTGTGTGCCTTCTTTATAATTCTGTTTCTCTTCGAATCCTGTGGCACATGGGGAAATAAGCGAGAGCAAATAAGAACTAAATTACAGTGGGGCTCTAATTGCAGGTCTCATTAAGTGGGATCAGAGATCATCGGGGCCGTCTGGGGAAACAGGGCTGCCTGGAGACAGCGTCTGCGTGTCCCGCCTCCCTGAGCACCTGCTCTGGCCTCGGCAGTTCCTCTCTGTCCCCGCCTCGGGGAGGGACATGTACTGCAGCCATGCTGGTCACGTGCTGGGAGGCCCCTTGTCTGTCCCTCTGGGCAGGGAGGGGTCCTCGGTCTTTCAGGGGTCTGGGTAGGTTTGGGCTCCTTTAAAGCCATCTTCTCCTTCCGTTTGATCACTGGCTGGACAGCTTCCAGGGACGCCCTGAGCACCATGGACGGCACTCGGGTGGTGTCTGCGCGTCTTCATGTGGGAGGCTGCAGGCGGATGGTGACCTGGTGACCCCTGAGAATGCAGGCCGTTGCGCCCGGCACCAGGGCGAGCAGGCTGTGCTCCGAGTGGCCCCGCTAGTGTGGCCACGCGGCCCTTAGGCATCTGTGGGAGCCGCTTTCTCAGAAATAGGATGTGCCCATGGTGCTTGTTCTGAACAGGTTTGGAAAGGCTTCCTTTGCTCCATGGCCAGAGCCCGGGGCGGGGCTCGACGGCAGTGGTTCTAAGTCTCCTGTACTCGACTGCAGCACAGCTGATTAACTGCCGTGTCAACGGGCCCGAGCTGCACACACAGTTACTTCCAGCTCTGGCGAGTATTCCTTAATTGGAACGTTAATAAGTTCTGAGTAGAGACCTAAACTATTACAGCAAACCAAAATTTTAATAGGAAGAGAACTGTTTTGCCTTTGAACTTCCTACCTTCTCCCGTAACAATCGATATCTTCCATTTGGTGCCATGCCTGCTGGTAACAGTGTTTCTTTCGCGTCCCTCCCATGAGCCGAGGCAGCCCGAGGGGTCTTCCCCAGTGTACGGAAGAAACGGGAGGTGTGCTCATGAGTTAGATCTCCTTTTCCCTTACAAACTGGGTGTGTGTTCTTAAATTACTGCAGCCAGAGCTGCTCACCGGAGGGGAAGAAATGTTGGACCCACAGAGGAGAGAATAGAAATCAGCTGTAATTTCCCTAGAGACCCTCGCTCCTGAGATGGCGAACCTGCCCGTCTTGTTGGTGTGTCTGTGCACATGCACCTCCCTGGTGGTTTTGCAAAAATGAAACCCTCTTGTGCAAGCCGATTTGAGTCTGATGAGAAGATACAAGTGTAAGGAAAGCCGTAGGGTATAATAAAAGCTGTGCATGTTACAGATAAGGGGGAAAAGCCCCCAAACATAGAAGAGCCGTTGCATGCGTACTTGCACACACAGGCGTGTGCACATGCACACACATACACACGCTTAAAGACACATCACTCCACCACCTAAGGAAATCTGTAATTACCACTTTGCAGGTGCACACGGGAAAAGTTACGTGTGTGATACGTGGTTGACACGGTCACCTTTCCTTTGTCACACGCTTTAAAAAGCCCTGAAGTAGCACGGACGCCCTAACGTGCCGGATGCGCGTGCACAGCTCTCCCTTGCTGGGTGTTTAGAGCTCTTGTTTGCACTGCCACGGTCATTGCTGCGGTGGGGCTTCTATCCTTCTCAAGTGCTTGGAAGTGTAACCGTGGCATCCTTTGAAGGCTTTCAGTAGCCTGATAGAATTCTTTTTGGGAAGGCAGTGAGTGACTCCGCCATCGTCCCAGGCTCATGGTGCCCTCCGTCCCCTGACAGCCCCTCTGTCACTTTCAGCTGTGTCGTGGGACTCCGTCACACGGGTGTGGGCGGGAGTCCACGCAGACTCCGGGCCCAGAGAGCATCCTGAAACTGGAGCCGAACCAGCCGAGAGCCTTTCTCTGGGTTGCAGCTTTCATTAGTTAAGGACCCCTGGTCCACGTCAGGCTTTTAAAACTGGGTGTCACATTGTCTGTGGTCGTTACAAAGGCACAGAGAAAGCAGGGAGGCCTCAGCCCGTCCAGAATCCCACCAGCCAGGGACCCCCAGGTTCTGTCTTCTTAGAACATTCATTATAGCTACATTGTATTTCTCTAATAAATAGAAATGAAACAAACTAGCCACGTTTATAGTCTGTTCTCGTATACCAGAAACATACCGTTTTTCTGTGGTGACTACATGTTCAAGTTACGGCTTTTCACAGCTACATGATACTCCTTTGTTAGATGTACTGTTGTTTTTTAAGCCAGCCTCGGTTTGCTGCACACGACGGGATTCCAGTCCGTGTACACGTCAGGTGTGCTGTGCACACTGCCTTATCCGTCCATGTGTCTGCTCTTGGCTCGCCGCCCACTCTGCTCGGTCAGCACCCCTGTCAGTAACCGATCACCCCCGAAGGGTTTAAACACAGTGTATCTTCACTTTAATGCATATTGTGGTGGCGATGATTTCCCCCCAGATCGTCAGTCCCCATGTTCCGTGTACAGGCTGTGCACTGTGCCATTTTCACGGGGCTCTTCCTGTCCGTGTTGATGTGCGGTCCACACCTTCTTCTTAGGAATATTCTTTCCGGCTTTATCATTTTTCCATTCATTTCATTGATGGTGTCTTGCAGTTTTATACACGTCTTCGCTTTAGGTCCTGCGCGTTTTCTGTTGGCTCCGTTCCGTGCTGCACGATGTATTTCTGCTTGCTCACTCAGAGGGCTTTTTAATCCTGAGTTTCAGTGAATTCTTCTCAAATGGTCACTTGTTGCCTTCGATCACGTGGCTTCTTCTCCAGCCATCCGGTGGTCCTCCCTCCCCATCTCTCTGTTGGCAGTGTTGCCTGGACTTCCTGGCGGGCTGGTAGCGCTGGGGGGACGCCCCTCCAGTCTCATGGGGGCACGTGCACGGCCACTCCGCGGGAAGCGTAGAACCTGAGCTTGAGATACACATTCATGATGATGCTAAGTTTGTACTTCGCGTTTACCGAGTGCTTTTGGCAGATACGAATGTTGAATTTTCCTCAGGTAACACATGGTTTCCAGGAGGATGACATGTGGGTCGCCCTCCCCCCACGCCCTGGGATAGTCGTGGATTTTATTTCTTTTAACTTCCTGATGTCCATTCCTGCATTTCCGAAACTAACCTGTGTGTCGAGAGGTGACAGGGTGCAGCTCTGATTGTTCGGCGTCTGCTGGTGTGTGGACACCTGCCGGCCCCGCCCGCCGCCGTGGGTAACCTTGCCTAGCTTCCTAGAGGACAGGCAGACCCCCGGTCATGTGGGCAGGAGAGTATGTCCACGGGGAGGGTCCGCCCTCTGCTCCCCGGGAGCCCAGGTCTCGTGCCTAAGAGTCCTGCGAGCCCTGTGCTCTCTGAGGAGATGGGGGTGACTTGGTCCCCGTTCCGCACTTTTGTGCAGGTGGTGTTTTCTCTGAAATCCCTTAGGCTTTTTTTTTCCCTAATGTCCCAAGTGAAGCATTCATTTTATTGAGTTTTAGAAAAATTATTAGCCTGGAGATAAATACAGTCTGTTAAATAACCTGTCGGGTTTCCTTCCTCACTTCCAGTTTCGTGTATCATATGCTCTTTCTCCTTCACATTAGGGTTTTGCCAAAGCTGTATGTTTTATGCTTGTTCCACACACATCTCTAGAATTCATCAGTTTCACTTTCTCTGTGTTTCCCCTTAATGGAGGCCAATTAAGAGACGCCTTCTGTTACCTTGGGTTTTTTCTGTGACTTTCTCTCTCATGCATTCGATTCCTCATCTACTTACTGTTTCCCGTTAGATGGTGAAAACCGCAGAGGGCTATGAATTTGCCCGTTGCTGTCACTTTGTCAGGGTGCTTGGACTTGTGGTAACATCTCTTGTTTTTTAAGGATATTTAAAGCAGGTTTTTATTTTCTGTGTGATCCAAGAGTAATTGCAGAGAGTTGTGCCCATAGTGTTGATGTCTGTCCGTTGGTTAATGATGCCTAGTTGTGTCGTGGATTTGGGAGAGATCAGGCTTTCTAAGTCCTGCACTGGGGGCATCAGGCCCTTCCCCTCTGGCCTGGTAGCACTCTCTCAACCGTCCGTGGGTGCTGGGTGGGACTGTTCCTCTGTTGCGCTGTCTGCTGTGCTCATCACATGCTGTATAGCAGGGGCCCTAAACTCCAGTGCCTTCAAGGGGCCTGGGGCCACACGGTGAGCACACAGTCCAGGAATATGGACCCTAGAACTCTGTGTGGGCCCATGAGCCTGACCGTTGTGTCCCCTCCGTTCAGTGAGGCCTCAGCTGTGGGTCTACAGATTGCACCCTCACCTCAAACGAAGCCTGTTTTTTGTCTACTTGTCGTGACGGGGACGAGGACAGGCGTGTGTCTGTCTGGTCGTCCCCGTGTTTCCAGCTGGTGATGCTGTTTCCTTTGCTCTTCTCCGGGGTTAACTGTCACCAAGGGAAGACGGCCCGTTGGTAGTGAGCCAGTGCGCACGGGGCCCCTGAGAGCAGGCGTGAGGCCCAGAGTTAGCACTGCTCGTGATGAAGGAGCTTAGTGGGGCCTTCCAGCTTCGTGAGTAGTAAATGCCATCGTGTCTAAAGCCGTGAGCACTGGCTGCCCGTTGGCGCAAGGAACACGCTTTAAATGGTGCCCATTTGTTACTCACAGTGTGTTTCTCGCATCTCCTGCCCATGTCTCTGGGCATCCCCTCTCCCCTCGCTCCTGCCTGTCTGCGGCTGCATCGTGGCCAGTCCTTCCTCTCACCCTGGGCAGTGGCCTTCGTCCCGTCCACACCGTGGGCTCTTGTCTGGACCTGTGCAGGGTCACGTCTGTCACTGAAGACTTTGCCACATGGGCTGTTTCAGAACCTTCCTTCACATTATGTAGGTGCTTCCTCGTTATTTCCCGCCGTTAACGCTGATGGCAGCCTGTGCTCGGGCCTCCCTGTGGGCGCAGGCCCCCTGCCTCCATAGGCAGCGTCCTGTTGTCTGCTGCACAGTCGGCCCCGCGCCCCCCACAGGAGAGCCCTCACCTGTTCCTCGTGTCCCTTCCCGGCCCATCACCTGGGCCCCCCTGGCCAGCACCCCTCGACCTGGCTTCCTCTCCCGTGGTCTGCGTAGTGTCCATGTCATCTTGCTGAGACCACAGAGCAGGCCTTGTCCCACAGCGCATCACACCTCTGCTCTGTGTCCCCAGTGGTGCTCCCACCCCCAATACGCACACACACATCCCTTTAACCGTTCGGCTTCCCTGTGGAGAAGTTTCCCCGGCTTCAGTTTTCACTCCCAGGACTGGTTGGAAGGGTCCTTCCCTGCAGACCGGGCTGCACTAGAACTGCTCCGGAACCTTCCAGCTGCACGCTGGCGGCCAGCACCGTGACCTTGCAGTGTGAGGGGAACCTCGACCGACCCACAGGAAGCCAGTCTCTCTGGCTAACGCTGCTGCCCGCGGCCCCGTCCGGAGGACAGCTGTCACTTGTGGCTGAGGCACCGTGTGCCTCCGTCGTCCCATCCCCTGCAGCCGGATGGCTCTGCTCCTGCCGTTCCTGCGAGAGGATGCGGTGTGGGCCTGGGGTCCCCTGGCCGCGTGGCCGGGGACACAGGTGTCTGTGACGGCAGCAAGCAGAGGCCTCCCCTTCCCTCACTCCTTCCTCGCGTGCTCTCCCAGCTGGGGGATGGTCCCAGAACGCATCTCGCACCCGCCCCTCGCGGGAGCCTGGAGGCCCTCATTCTCGGGTTTTAAATGCGTACACATTTGCACGCTTGTCAAAGCCCACATCCGTTAGTCCCTCCAGAGTTCTGTACAAGCACAACTGGCATCCTGTCCAACCTAAGAACTTGATGCTGCAGCTGTTCTTTCTAAGCCTCACTCTGTGTGTGCATGTGTGCACGTGTGTGTGTACGTGTGTGCACACGTGTGTTACAGAGAGTGGCTGTTTGTGCTCTGGGCTTGTTTTGCAGCGTCTCTTTGTTGCATTTGACAAGTGCCCAGTACCCGAGCGAGATCACAGGGCTGAGGGTGGCGGTCTCTTTGCCGGGGCCCCTGTAGCGGGCCGTAGTCGTGACGATAAGGAGTCAGTGCAGCAGCCTGAGTCCCGTACCAGGACGAGGAAGGCACATCTGAACCGAAGGGGACAGGTGCTCAGTCTCTGCTGCAGCCACCGAGCCTGGTGCGGCCTCCTGTTAGAAACGGAAAGGGTTTGAGGATTAACACCCCACATGCGGGTCTGGCGGTTGTGTGAGGGGCTGTGAAGCCCACGGGAGCCGTGTGTGGTTCGATCAGGGTTTCAGTAGGAAGTTGGAGGCTGGGAAGGTCTCTAGATTGGGGACCTCCGGGGACAGCTGTGGCCCTGGGCCTCGTCCCTTCACATGCTTTTCAGAATAATCAGTGATCACAGCAAGCCTGTAGTTTTTTAGTTTACTTGCAAACGTTAATGAGCAGATGTTTTATTAACCGACTTACGAATTCCAGGAATCTTGGAAAGCAAACGGCTGGACCTTGTGAAAGAGAAAACCATTAATCAGACCATCGGGAAAGTCGTTTACTACGCTGCCGACCTGCCCATCTGGTGGCAGGTCCCACAGTACGTGCTCATCGGCATCAGTGAGATCTTTGCGAGCATAGCAGGTGAGGCTTCTCTGAGGGCGGGGGCGGGGCCTGGTGTGAAGGCGGAAGGGCGCGTCCCCGTGTTAGAGCGATGACACAGGGACAGCATATTGCCTTCATGTAGAGGGACATGAGGCTCTCCTTCCTGGGTGTAAGTCCCGGCCTCCCAAGGACATCCCTGTAGCATTTGTCCACTGCCTTGGGGACGGAGGACGTCTGGGCCGGGCACTGCCTAAGCCCGGCCTTGCGGTTACACCGCGGCCGCCGAGCCCCGGCCGTGAGCTGCTGCAGAGCGCTGGGCGTGCTCACGACCGCTGGGCGTGCTCGATCGGCCTGTGAGGAGGCAAACCTGATTACTAACACATCTGCACAAGCCCCTCTTGTCCTGGGAGTGAGGTTCTGTGGAGTGTGGACAAGTGCGTTGTGTGCAGACCTGTGTCCGGCTGCTGGGAAGGGGGAGGGTGAGAAAATGATCCACGGAACTGGGTGGGTAGGGGTGTGTGTGGGCGGAGGGCTCCCCCTCCTCACCTCTCACCAGACGCCTGCAGAATTGGCTCAGGATGTGGGAAAAGTATAAATCAAACCGCTGTCTACACTACAAATCTAGTTATTATAAAAACTGAATTTATAGATGCCTCTGTTGAAGTTATTTTAAAATATATCACCATTAAAATAGAGTCTTACCCAGAATCCCCATTTTAGTGCACGTACATTGTTTTCAGACTCCTCTCGGTTGAGAACATAGAAGTTTGAGTCTTTAACCTCATTCTTTCCGTACGGATCCGTCCCGAAATCTGAGGGCTGACAAGTCCGATGTTACCTTCAGTCTGAGGGCGGGGACTTGACGTTTTGCCCCCTGGCTGGAAGGACTGTCCTGGCGAAGAGTGGGCCCCGACTCCCCGACCTTGTGTTAAGTGCCCCCCGTGGCCCTCATGCAAACACCCCGCTGTGTTCCAGGCCTGGAGTTTGCGTACTCGGCAGCCCCCAAGTCCATGCAGAGCGCCATCATGGGCTTGTTCTTCTTCTTCTCTGGCGTTGGCTCGTTCGTGGGCTCCGGCCTGTTAGAGCTCGTGTCCCTCAAAGCCATCGGCTGGATGAGCAACCACACCGACTTCGGTAAGAGCCCCGCCGGCGGCTGGGAGACGGCCGTTGGCTGCTGCTCACGCGCCTGCAGTCGCAGGAGCCAGGGTCGCATTAGGGGAGGGGGGCTGCCCGGGGGCTGCTGTGAGCAGTTCCCAGATCCGTGTGAGACCTTCGCCGCCCCCCCCCCCGCCGTCTCCTTCACCCTTGCCGGTCTCCCGAGGCCCCGGTGACCCTGTGTGCCCCAGGGGCCCTGAGAAGTCTCTGACCTGTGACCAGACCCCCTTGTGCGCCAGGATCTCTGTGACGCGGATAAAACCTCTAGTACACGGTCCCCTTATACCGTGGCTTGTATTTTCCTTTCTTTTCCTGACACTTCCTTTACATTTTCTGGTGTCAAAAACACAGGTAAACAGTTGTCTTTCTTTCCTCGTGACCCGTCATGATGGGATTTTACGTTCACGCCAGTAGGTGGCATCTTGGGTGCTGAACAGAGTCACTCAGAAAAGACCAGAGTTTTGTCGTTTCTGGATTTATGGTGGCTTTTATTTATTTTTTTATTTATATAATTTTTTTTACTGTCTTATTTTTTATTTTTGAGAGAGAGAGAGGCAGCGTGAGCAGGGAAGGGGCAGAAAGAGCCAGAGACACAGAATCCAAAGCCGGCTCCAGACTCCGAGCTGTCAGCACAGAGCCTGACACGGGGCTTGGACCCACGCACCGTGAGATCATGACCTGAGCTGAAATCAGACGCTTAACTGACTGAGCCCCCCAGGCGTCCCCCTATGCTGGCTTTTAAATGCACGCAGGAGATGAAGGAAATTTTTATCTTTTTGTGTTACGTTTCCCTCTGAAAACTGCTTTATCACCTTGTGTGATCTTGCAGTGTTCACTCAGGTCAGCGCTCTTAGCCACCTTCAGGTCCTAAATCCCCTTAAGACTCTGGGGAAAGTGTGGGGACCTTTCCCTCAAAATTACAGAATTTGAGAGGCATTCGCTGACTGAGTTTAAATTTCTGTCCTAAGGGGTGGGTGTAGGTCTGCGGGTCCTAGTGTGGCTTCCAGAGACCCAGGCTGCCGGCGCGGGCCCTGGGGCGCAGGCTGCACTGTGTGCCAGCCGCTGGGGCATCTCCACGGCGGGCACAGGCCTGGGCGTCCTGAAGCAAGCGGGCAGGGGTAGGGCTCGGTTTCCGCCCCCGAGGCCCCTGGCAGGGAGGCAGGCGCCCTCAGCGTCCCGGAGTGCTCGTGGGCTCCCGGTGAGCGCGATGTGCTCCTTCTGTGTACACGGGACGCCCCTCCTCCCCAGAAAGCCTGCTACACACGCCACGTCTCTGGTTCTTTGAACGTGGATTCTACTTCTTCATGGTGGTTTTCAGTGTGTCCTGAAGGATGGTTGGCTTCGGTCAGTCTCCTTGCTTTCCCGAGATTTGGTCCCCTCGCCGCTCATTTCGTGTCTCAGGCTTCAGCACGGTGCACCCCTTATTTCTGACGGTGGATTCCGGCCCTGCCCCGCGAGACTGGTCTCCAGTCCTCGCCCACGGCACGCGCATGGCTCGGACCCGGGTCCTGTGTGTTGGTGGTGTTTTCATAGCATGTGTTCCAGACAGCCCCGGGCCACTGCCCTGCCCACCTTATCGCCACTCCGGTCAGGAGAGCTCGGGTGAGCTGTGCCTGCGCCCCGCAGCCGGGGTGGAGGACGTGTGCAGTGGGCCGGCCAGCTCCGCCCCCCCCCCCCGCCCCAGGGGATTCGGGCAACGAATGGGACATGGTAGCCCCCCTCCAAGAAGAAATCTGGTTTTAATAGCCCCGAGTTTATGGCTTTATGTGCATCGTCCTGCAGTCTGCGAAGAGGCCCAAGAACGTACAGGCCATTGCTTGTACGAGGTGATGCGTTTCTGAGTCCCTCCCTCGCCCCACGGCCGTCCCCGCCGGGAGTGTGGCCTGTAGTCCCTCGGCAGGCCCGCTGAGCTCCAGAAGTTGTGACTCTTCCCCTTGGGGAGAATGTATTTCACAATCGGCACTTAGAGTGTTCTGTGTTCTGACAACTTTGTCTCCTGGCACCGAATGCCAACCCCACCGTGTGGCCGCAGAGCCCGGCTCCTCGGAGGGTGTGTGGGTCTCTCCCAGTGCCTGGGACGGGGCCTGACCCACCCTGACGGGTAAAACACTGTTCTCAACTGCCTGCTGAGAGGTGGCCTGTCAGAAATTGAGGTGTCCCCAGAGCCCTTCCCAGACCAGTCCACGTGCGAGAGCACCGACTCTCGCAGCCTGTGCGTGCGAATTCTCCGGGAACGTGTGAGCGCACAGACCTGTACTCAGCGTGTGGTTGGCTGTGTGTCAGTACCAGCTTCCCGACAAGGGAAGCCCAGAACAGCCCCGCCTCACACAGCCTGCAGGGGACCCAGCCTCCGTGTGGTAATGAGTCAGCTCCGCACGCCCCGTGAGACCGAGCACACGTGCTCGCTCCTCTGTTGAGAGTCGTGTCGGGGAGCTTTTCAGTCAGTGGCGGGAGGGGATGGGACGCCTGTGGGTCACGGTGACGGGGCCAGTCCGTGTGGGGTGCGTGCCCCTGGATGTTCCCGCACGAGCATCACTGCATGCTGTTCACATGTCCTTCCCGCTGCTCCTCGGTTGTGGGTGAGGCCGGCCGTGCCTCAGACACGGTTCTCCCGTGGGAAGACCGCCAGGCGTGGGTGGGTGGTCCTGCACCCGGCAGTAATGAAGCCGCGCGAGTGCTGGGCGCTGTGGCAGGTGCGTTTCCTGCACGTTTCCTCCCCATGGTGACCCTATCCGTGAGGTCCCCTGCAGCCCCCAGATCGTCAGGCCACTTGGATTTGAACCTTGCTGGTTGAGCTCCATGTTCTGTGACCATTACCTCTTTGGCCTTCTCGGGATTTATGGGGACCTAAAGAGAACATTGCACGTAAATGCTTAGTGCTCAGGGCAGAGGTGAGCATTTGGTATGTTAGCTACTGGGGTCAAGTTCGCTCCTGTGTCACGTTGAGTCTGCCGAGACCTGCACGTTCACGGGAAAACATGTGAAAACACATTGTCTTCCTGTAGTGCATAGAGCATGTCGGCCGCGTGCCCTGGTTGTGAAGGCTAGTGTCTGTGAGCTCCTGAGCCACACGGTAAATCAGACCCCTGACGGGACGTGGTGTCCAGACCCCAGCGGCACGGAGGTGGTCTCTCTGGTCACCTTCCTGCTCCACGCCAGCCGTCGCGGGGAAGTGACCTCAGAGCCTGAGGGGCAGGCGCTGCAGAAGGCGGGAAGGAAACACTTGCGGTCACGTATCTGCTTCCGGGGCTCCCGGGGCCCAGGGACGTGTGGGCTCATTCCTTCACTTCCCCCGATCTTTCTGCACTGGAGGAACTTGAAGTGAAAAAAGTTTCTCGACATTTTTCCTGCTGCGTCCAGTGGATACTCCCCTCGCTCACCTTGTTGACACCTCTCTTCAGCCCCCTGCCCAGGTTCTCCAGAGGATGCGGACAGAAGTGGGGCCCGTCGCTGCAGTGCCCTGGCCCTCATCCTCCGTCTTTCAGGGGAGAGTGGTCCGAGGGGGCGCGGTCACGCCACGGACCCCAGCCCGGGCCCGTGGTAGGCACGCAGCTAGCTTCAGAGCACTTGCGTGTTTTGAGTTACAGGCACGTGGTGCTGTTTTTCTTTTATTTATGTTTATTTTTTTTAAATAACCGCAGCTAAAAGTCACCCTGACCTTGCTCGGAACCAGAGGTAAGGGGTTAAACCTTACAAACGCCCTCTTTCTCTCCCATGTCCGCAGGGAATATTAACGGCTGCCACCTGAACTATTACTTCTTTCTCCTGGCCGCCATCCAGGGGGCCACCCTCCTGCTCTTCCTCATCGTGTCCGTGAGATACGACCGCCAGCGGTCACGAGCCAACGGAGCACCCGCCGGGAGGAGGACCTAACGGCCCCGAGGCGGAAGCCGGCCGGGCGCCGGGACTTGTGGCCACGTGCTGGGCGTGTCTCTCGTGACGCCCACGGCCTCACACGGGCCCCTTTCTTCCCCCAGATGAGCTGGGTAAGTGCCTTTCCGTGGTCTCCCTCCGGTCACGCGGGGCCTCCTCAAGACCTCCCTGAGCCCCGCGGACGGGGACCCGCGGCGGAGCCTCCGAGGGCCCGGAGACCGCGCGTCTGGTCCGCACCCTGGCGCTTGAGGCAGATGCTCTTTCCTTCCCAGGCCGGATTGTCTCACTTTCTGTTTCCTTTCTGATTAATACACGTCTGCTTATCCTGAGGAAGGGGAGGGCCTTGCAAGAGATAAAAACGTGGCAGATGCCACAGAGATTTTGTGTGCAGGTCATGTTTGCGGTTCTTCGTAAGCCACCGACTTGCCAGTGCCAGTTCCTCCGTTGTGAGTGTGTTTTATCTGCGGCTTCTGAAACTCACTGCTTGACCCATTGACGTTGATTTGTTTCCTTACGAAAGAACGCGCATCAAGAAATATTTAAGGGCGTGTGTCCCACCTGCAGCCCCCAGGCGCCCTGAAGGGTGTTGTGAACCTGTCCCGTCTGTCCTGGGCACCGTCGAGGGGGACGACGAGTCACGGAGGCGCGTGGGGAGACCTCACGGGAGACCTCACCCTGAGCAGAACTGGCGCCGTTCAGGGCCGCCGGTCGCCGGCAGTGTTCAGTGTTCCGTGTGCACCGAAGCGTTTGATAGTATGTGTTGTTATTTTACATGGTTGCAGGGGCTCTAATTTTGTTAAATAAACTGCTATTTGTTGCTGTATTTCTGTTGTGACTTTATTATAAAAAGCCCCTGAAATGGGAGACCCAGTAACTACTTCTCTGCGTGGTTTGTGCACGGCCTTCACTTACTCAGTATCCGAGGCCAGAGGGCGTCATAAACCACTGTCTCCTGAGTCAGGAGGTGAGAGAGGTCACAGGAAAATACCCATCCCTGTCACAGCCCTTCGAGTTTTCCACAATGGCTATTCCTAGTCCTGCTCTGCATAAAACACAGTTTCAGATTCGCAGAAAACAAAAATGAACACAAAATCCCCTCACTGTTTCAGTGGGTTTTGTTTTTTTTTAATACAAAGTATAGAAAAACTACAGAAAACTGGGGAACCCTCTGACGGGTGGAGTGCAGGCAGACTGGACACGTGACTGCTCTCCGTGCTGATGGTGTGAGTTTGGCTTGAGAAGCAGTTTCAGAAATCGTGTCCACTGCAGGTGCCTGGGTGTGAGCGCCTGACTTCGGCCGAGGTCACGATCTCCCGAATCCCATGACCCCACAGTTAGGGGGATCGAGCCCTACATCGGGGTCCAGGCCAACAGCACCAAGCCTGCCTGGGACCCTGTCTCTCTGCTGCTCCCCGGCTTGCGCTCGCTCGCTCTCTCAAAATAAACAAACAGTAATAAGGAAAAGAAACAGTGTCCACTGGAGCTGGAGCTTGTATCTTCAGGGGACAACAGAGCCTCTCCCCACTGCTGTGAGCAGCGCGTTCTCCCGTTCTCCGTAAGGACTTGGTGGCGAAAGGGGGCGAGGAAGGGGGAAGGAGGTCGGGCGACGGGGACTCACTGTCCCCACCTTGTCCCGCGTCTGTCCTCAGGCCTCCCAAGTTGCTGGGTGGACGGACGGACGGGGAATCGGAGTGACAGCCTGGGGGGTGGATGATCGGGTTCCCCTGCGACACCGAGCCGTGGTCGATAAACAAACCCCGTGTGCTGTCCTGGGAGGGTCACAGAACCCGCGTGTCCACCCTGAAGCCGCAGCGTCTGTAGCTTGCGTGTCGGCCTGGGAGCAACATCACGTTCCCTTTGGAGGCGCTCCCTCTGGCTTCCTCTTCGATGACGGTGGCCGGGACAAGGCTCTGCAGCATCCTGGGCGACTCGTGAGCTGAGGCAGCTTTCCCGCACGAGCGCGTGGGGACAGAACCTCCGTCTGCTTTCAGACGGACCTCCCGGGCCTGGCCGTGGCGTTCAGTGCGCCCTGTCCGTCTGTCCGCCGCTTCTCTGGGGGCCGGGGGCCCCCCGCTGGGGCGTCCGACAGGACCTCCCCTGTGGGTCGGTGGGGAAGGCGTTCCACTCTGTATGTGACCCACACGGCCTCAGCATCACGGGTTCCTGGTAAGACCGCGTGGACGCTGCTCAGCTACCGGAATGTTCCACAGGGTGCAGGACGGCGGTCACATTGGGAGTGGAGCCCTGTCATGGCCCGGAATTGCTGTGCGCCACTGAGTGACTGATTCACTGCTCTTAAAACGGCACATATTTTATGGGCACTTTCGAGTCGAATGAAGTCGTGTGAGCAGGCCCTTAAAAACATGCGTCGAATCAGCTTGCTTTCTGGGAAATGGCCTAATTTTAGAGGAAATGATATATAAATAGCGTCTGCTTGAAACGACGTATCACATCAACGAAAAGCAGAAACCAGAAAGCAGAGGAGGAAGGCAGTCACGCGACACGAACTGTGGAGAACCATGTTCACCAGCCTCCTAATCGGCCACGGGACCTGGGCTCCTTGGAGGCGAGGCCTGTGTGGCCCTGGCGGGGCTACGTCTGTCTGTCTCATCCTAACTGGCACCATAAGAAGGGGTGACCCCGGTCATGGGCTCCAGGGGGAAAGGGGACCCCTCAGGACCCCATTTTTTCTCCTCTCCATGCGGATTTTCCAGAGACGCCCTGGGACCCAGCAAAACGTGTCAGGTAAGGAGCAGAGGCAGCCACAGACCGTGTGGGGTTTGTGAGACACTCACGTGGGCCCCCAGCCCTGCGGGACCCCGGGGTCTGGGCTGAGATGGACGGGCGTCTGGACCCCGTCACAGGACCAGCCTCCACCTCCCCGCCTGGCCCCCAGGCCCCGTCCAGGCTGCGCCCAGCACTAGCTCTTAAGAACAGGTCAGCACCTCAGTCCCTGGTAACTTCTTGCCGCCTCCGTAAGCTGGACTTGGTCCCCTGAGTGGGAAGAAGAGTCAAGGTGGGAATGCGGTGGGGTACAGGCCTGCCCAGAGGGGCCCCGGTGTGTGGGGGCACCTCCTGTGTGTCCTACGGGAGAAACGCACGGTGGCCCCACCCGTGTGCACGTCAGGGCCAGCTGGGCCCCGTCAGACACACAGCCACGAGGCTGTGAGAGGCCCGCCTCTCATCTGTGCTGGTGGAGAACGAAACGGCCGCAGTCCTGGGTGAGCAGAGTCCCCCCAAAAGTCAGGTCCGCCCACGACCTGTGAACGTGACCTTATCGCACGCCGGGTCTTTGCAGGTGGTCTCAAGGGAAGAAACCGGAGCGGAGGAGGTGGGCCCGAACCCAGTGCAGCTGGGCATGGGGGAGGGGGGTCTGCGCCGCCACAGCCAGACGGGACTCAGGCCTCCGAGGGGCTCGCTCTCGCTCCCGGCCTGAGAGGAGGGGTTTCTGTGGGTGCAGACGCAGCCCTGGAAAGTGGGTGCAGCCGGGTCCCGGGCTGCGCCCACACAGGCCCATCCCCTGTGGAGGCTGCTGTCTGCCGGACCTGCAGCCTGGACATGACACGACCCAGCGGCTCCGGGGACGATCGGTTCCCTTGCCGTCTCCAGCCCCAGGCGGCCGTCCGTCCGTCTGTCCGCCCGCGCCCCTCTGCTGGGCCCTCCCTCAGTCTGCCGGTGGCCTGCTGAGCATCCCTCACTCGGCCGCCCCTCCCCCCACTCGTAAGGGCTCCCGGGATCCCAGCGGCCCAGCCGCTCCGGATGATGTCCCGTCTCTGCGCCAGTGGGCTCGTGACCGTGCGGCCGTGTTCACAGGCCTCTGCCGCTTGCACGTGGAGATCTTTGGGGGCTGCTCCTCGGCCCGCCACAGTGGCTGGCCGGCAAGCCACACTGCAGAAGGTCAAAGCCGCGCGTGCGAGGGAGGCGCTGTCTGGCCTGTTGTCACAGGCGAAGCTCACAAGGCGTCCAGGTACACTGCACGCGCACTCAGTGAAACGCCAGAGGCGCTTCCTCCACATGTAGCCAGGCCTGAGTTTGTATAATTCGTACACGTGGACACGAACAAACCAGCGCTCGTTTTCAGAAACCGAGTCAGGGCGAGTGCAGCTTCTCCCACGCGCCCCAGGCCGTCAGGAGCCCCGGCTGCCGAGCACAGCTCCCGGGCTGCAGGACAGGTCTGCCCGTGTCTCCCGGTCCCTCCTCACTCCTGGCCTAGGACTTTTAACTTGTCTCCATCCCAATCCCGAAAGTGGCACGTTCCCGAGGTGAAGAAAATTACAGGCCATTTGTATCAGCCGGGGGTTAGACATTCACTCTGCCTACGAAGGCGTATGAAGCAGAGCTTTATTATCCCGCGGCTCCAGGCGGAACCCCGTCCCTGCCAGACGGAAGGCGCGTCCGCACAGCTGCTCCTCACCTGCGGGCGCAACGGAAATCCACCAGGGGGACCGGAAAGAGGCGCTTTGGGGCTGCGACTAAGTGACACGTTTGAGGCGGAAATGTGCTGGTGGCAGGGGCTGTACCACTGCCCTGCCTGCGGGGGTCGGACGGGGGCCTGGGCTTCACCCCGAGCCTGCAGCCGGAGGACAGGAAGTGCACCGGGCGCGGGAGTTTACTTAGGAACAGTAGATGGATTCTCAGTGTTAGATTGTATTCGGGGGGCGGAGGGGCTATTGGTATATATTTTTAAATTATTATTAGAGAGCGAAGATGCAAGCGGGGGGAGGGGAGGGGGAAGGACAGAGAGAATCCCCAGGAGCCCAGGAGCCTCGGCACTATCAGCCTGGAGCCCGACACAGGGCTCGATCTCATGGCCCTGGGATCACAACCTGAGCCGAAATCCGGAGTCGGAACTCAACCAACTGAGCCGCCCAGGCGCCCCAGATAATTTTTGTTTTGCTTTCAGTTTTATTGAGATGTCAAGTCACCATGATGTACCTGTTAGATGTCCAGCGATCGTATTTGTCACGTAGACCCCTGAGTGTTGATAAGGGGCCTCTCCTGCCTGAAACGATAAACTGCCAAACTCCTCCGACCCGGTGGACCCCGTGCCTGGGCTGCCAGAACCTTCCAACCCCACGTGTGCTTCCTTGAATTATGGAGTGAGCAGGGCCGCACCTGCTGACTTGCATCTTTGACTCCGACCACACTGTTT